GTGAGTGATGAGTTTCTACTGGTGTCAGTAGCGACCTTGTAACTTCTACTGAGCACAACGTGTTCTACTGAGCACAACGTGTCTTTCAGTAGATTCCTCTTGCTTATCCATGAGTGACGCGCACAATTAACAATATTGGGATTTTCTCTGTGTTGCCTGACGTGTGTTCATACTGTGTTCATACCGAGGCCGATTTCTGACGACCTGCAAACCTGTTTCTAGTTGCCACTTGCCTGGAACGTTTTTTTTTCAAGGCGGAACGCTTTTTTTTAAGTGAACCTCTAATCTTAGATTTCCACTCTGGTGCACAGCAATAGCTTAAAAAAGTGAAAATGCGCGGGAAAATTCACCGAAAACATACATCATCCTGAGTGTGGCTCAACCCTGAACTGTCTGAGTCACTTGAAGTCTTGAACTGAAGAACCTTCTGCTAATAAGGCTGCTAGCCTATTTGGTCATTAGTAAGTGAAGCTTTACGTTTACTCATGGCAGGGCTGGAAAAGTCCTATTTTTGTCTGAAATATCACGGCTCTAATATCATATTATTTCATTAGGTATGAAATCTCGCGGCTCGAATGTCATAAATTTTTGTTTAATTGAAAAATCACGGTTTGCACTTCACAAACATGTCACTTCATAAAATTTTCTACTTCTGCAATCCGCATTGCTTTAGGTACCGACCGTACCGTTCCTGCCAAAATACCGTAAAATGGGATAACTTAGACCACTTTTTTTTTACAAATGATGCCATTTTTTTACTAGCTAAATTAAACTTGAATTGAAACATGCAAAATACAGGTCTATACTCTAGCTTCACTCACCATAAATTGCTGGCTCCTGGCTCTCCACTATGCAGAGGGAGGATGCAGCGTCGCCAATATATGGATTTTTAAGCCCAAAGCGTCGCCGGCCATTTTAAAGATGCGTCGCCGGGTAATTTTTAATGAAAAGCCATTTACGCTCAGTAATGACGAACTATTTACAAGCCACAAACTTATTGCAAGGTTGCATGCACGTGTTACCCCAAATAACTAATTTTACCCTAAAAACAGTCCGATTGTACAGCAAGTGTCAACTGAACAAGTAATGAAGCAGTCTGACCGCTCTAATGTGACCAAAACTACGCAATCGAAAAAAAGTTGTTTACATTTTTTGGGGGAATTCATCGCAACTGATTTCCAGAAAAGCTTCGCTGCATCGTAATCCATCCAACGTACCGGAAACCTTACTTTTTTTCTAAATAGTTGGCTGGAGACTGAGAAATATATTAAATGCAAGAATTTCAATCTAAATGTGTCGGCAAGATCTTTTGAAGGCGAAAATTTTGCCGATAATGCATTGCCGTAGGTCTTTAAATCTTTGTTCACTCTCTGCACAGTGGCTGGCTCTCATAGTCTTTATGTAATTTCAAAAAAGTGATGGTCTTTGTTACCCCAGCCCTTGGGGTAACTTAGACCAGGTCGTAAAATCAATTATATTTTTTGGTAAAATAACTCCAAATAACTGCAGGTTTTGGTGCATTGTAGTAGAACTCTTCTAGTTACATATGCAAATGACAAACTTGAGGAAAGTGTCATAGCTGTCTCTTATACACATCTAGATGTGTATAAGAGACAGACNTTCACGGCTTGGTGAAATGGAATCACGGCTCGTAGAAATGGAATCACGGCTGGCAAATCCATAAAGCCACGGTTCGAAAAATTCAGTCGCGGCTTGCCAAGTAGATATATTCCATGCCTGACTCATGGTAGAGGCGGCATAGGCCAAATGATAATTGCGTGATTTCTCAAAAATATTCTGTGAAAAAAATATTAAAATTATATATTAGAAAGTAGGTATGTTATATCCATAAAAAGAAATTGGTGATATCTAATTGCATAAATATAACTTTTGAAGTAACACAACGGTTAAAAGTCGCACAACTGATCATTCACACGGCCAGTGCACTCTGAAACAAGCTGACATCCAGTGCCGTATATATATCATAATATATATGTCTTGAAAAGATTATGTAATATGAAAACTGGAGGTCCAAAACATTCATACACCCGCTTAAAATTGGTGCAAATGGTGCATCTTTCCTGCAACCCCATGTAGAAACACTCGGCATTGACGTCTCCTCGCGGCTCGCGTCCAGGGGTTATTGTGCCGTGTATAGTTATGACGTCTATGGACGTCTGTGCTAATTGGACCAAACTGGAAAACTGATGCGAGCATCAAAGTGTTAATTCGGAACTTGAGCCAGTCACGTCCCATTGCCATTGGCTGTGATGGGCAGAAGCAAATCTGAAGTCTTCTTTTTTCATTGTATATGATGTAGAGGTAGAATAAATGACATTTTCTGTGATTTTAACTTGTTCAAAGTTTTTTTATGTTTTATTTTTCTTCTTTTCGCTTCATGTCCGTCTGTCTGTCATCAAAAATTCAAACCTTAATTTAGAGCACTTCTGAAGAGCCTAGAAGCTTGAAATTTGGCATGCATGCTTATGCTGCCTAACAATTCAAGATTTTATCATCAGAAGTAATAAGTTTATAGTTAAAAATCATTAAATTAATTAACTGACATTTGTATGGAGAGAAAAAGTTCATGGTTGGGAATAGAGTTTTTTTTTTTGTCAAACAACCAGAGTTTCAGCATGCTGTGCTGCTGAGAAATTGTTTTAATAATTGCAATTATTGAACTAAAAAGTAGAAAATAAATCTATATAAAACCATTTTTAAAAACCATGTTTTTCTGGTGGTTTCAAAACTAAAAGCAATGAAAAAAAACTTTTAAAACCACGTTTTCTGTTTTCTTAACGGACAAGAAAGAAACTTTTTCATTGAGTTGTCCTAAATTTTATTCTTGACCTAAAATGAAGTCTAAAGTGTTTTTTTTTCAAATTTTATACTGAGAAAACCCAAAAAACATGGGGCAGGCACTGTGAAGATCTAAATATCATATATTTTGAGGAGCTACAGCCTACAGATTAAGTATTATGAATAGAACTTGGGTAATGGATGTGTCTTGAGCTGGTCAATAATTTTTTTTGCCCCCCACATTTTTTGTGTTTTCTCAGCATAAGATTTGAAAGAAATAAACTTTAGACTTCATTGTAGGTCAAGAATAAAATTTAGGACAACTCGCTGAAAAAGTTGATGTTTCTTTTTTGTCTGTTGAGAAAACGTGTTTTTTTAAAGTTTTTTATTTGTTTAATTTACCCATGATTATAGGGAAGTTCTGACTTCTATTTCAGATTGGTTAGAAGGTAGGCTAGGTAGATATATGTACTCCTTGCCTGTATGCAATGATTACCTTCAAGCAGGGAAAATACTAATATTTCAAACAGTTTCTTTACAAAACCCTTCTTGCCCTAGTAGCTGCTAAAAGGACAGCAGAGGCATTCAAATGCCATGTGCAACTATTTTGTGATTAGATGCTACCCTCAAAGGTTAGATGATATTTTTTTGGTTTATGAAAAAATATATATTGAAATTTTCTGAAAACTAGAAACCATTTGAGTGGCTTTGGATTGTGAAGTGAATTTTTTTTTAATTTTTTACTAATAAGTTCAATACTTATCTGCTCTTTACAAGCTAGTTTGGTTGCTAATGATGCCATATTCTTTTTTTTTTTTTTGCAGGCATTCGCTAAGCAAAATGGGTTTCATAAAAATTTCTTTCATATGTGCTTTCATGGTAGCTCTTTCAGCAGTTCTTCTACAGAAATACTCACCAAGCACGGTTGACACATTTTTGAGTGATCCAACTGTTCAGCAACTAACCATAAAGTGCAGTACTTTTCTCAATGGGGTGGGTGAAAAATTAAAAACCAATGTGTATCCTATGTGGTTAAAAGTACAACCTGTTCTAGCACCATATGTCAAAGTAGTGAATAAACAGCTAAGCAATATTTTTGGTGTTGTGGATGATGAGGCAAAAGGCACTAGCAGTAAGCCAATTGTTGATGAAGAATCTAATGCTAAGGGGAAAGAGCATGAATCTCAGCCTGAAAAAGTGTTTTCTGTTGAGGAATTGAAGAATTATGATGGTAAACCTGGCAGCAAAGGACTATATCTAGCCTTTCTTGGACAAGTTTTTGATGTAAAGAAGGGAGAGAAGTTTTATGGACCTGGAGGAGGCTATGAATTTTTTGCAGGTAAGATTCAAAAAACGCAACTGAGATTCATGAACATTCACAGAATTTGTACTACCTATCTTTCAGATATAGAACTCAAATGCTTAACTTTATTATTTTGTGTTTTTTCTCTTGTATGTGAGCTTGTGGCTAGGTGCAAATATCAAAATACTTTTCCTATAACACCTTGTGATGATGTTTTAGTTTTACTATTCAACTTGCAGGTCGCGATGCCTCTCGTGCGTTTGTCACAGGCAATTTTGATGGAGAAGGTCTCACTGATGACATTGCTGGCATGTCTGATCAGGATTACCTAGGCATCAAAACTTGGATTGATTTCTATCATTCTGACTACAAGTATGTTGGTGAGTTCTCTAGTGCTACTAATTAAATAAGTCTTATGCATGCTAATTACCTTGTCATGAACATTTTCTAAAATGCCTAATGCCAATGTATTTCATTTAAAATTTTGTGACTAAATATATTGTGCTGTTGTTTATGTACCGTATGCAAAAGTTGAAGATAGTTTAGGTCATAAAAGTTTGGCTTTTAGTAAATTGTTAATGGACTTTCTGATGTTCTCTGTAAATAATTCTTGCAGTTAATTGTTTGATAAAACTTGCCATTATACTGATTATAGGACTTTGGGGTTAGCATATGGCTTATTATATACGTAGTACTATATCGCAAAGCCCTATGAGACTTGATCAGTTTAACAGTGTAAGTCTAATGAATTAAATCAATGAAACTTTCTAAGGTCAATTGAACATAGGAAAAAGAATTTCATTCCACTGCCATTCTAGACCATTATTTAATGCAGAAAACATTAAAACTTGTATTGTCTGGCTAAATTATACTTTCAAGCAAACATTAACCCTCCTATAGCCTTTGGGTAAAAATTACCTGCATTTTCGACCATATGTACATAGGACATAAGGCATGTAACATAATGAAGACAGCTTGAGGGTTAAGTTGTTTCCAAGCTATCATGTATTGATCTGATGAACTTTTTGCAGGTAAAGTGGAAGGCCGGTACTACACTGCTTCTGGGGAAGCAACTCAGTACCAAAAGGATGCAGAACGCTGGATTGCTGATGCCAAGAAGAACAAGGATAAAGCTGATGAACAGTACAAGATCTTTCCGCCCTGCAACACTGAGTGGAATCAGGACAGAGGCACTCGAGTTTGGTGTACAAAGAAGAGGTAATGTCTGGCGTTACTGTGTATAAGATAGCCAGGTCAATATTCCAGAATTCATTACTTGCTCTGGTAAACATGTATGATATTGTTACAAATGACATATTTCTAAGTGTCATATGGTTCTTGTTTAAACACGAGGATGGAGGTGAGAGCATATTGTTATGCTGTTGGCATTCAAAATGACCATGCAATAGGTACTGAGCAACTGTGCCAAACTGTCTCTGCCAAAAGAATATCTTGCTGTTGACATCTTTCTTATAATCACTTCAACTTTCTATCTATGTATTTTTGCTGTTATTTGAGTTATGATATCCTTGAGATACAACTTGTAAGCATTTTAGATTAACTTGCACAGAACTTCTGGTTAACATATAAATATCACTTGGTATCTACAGTATTTAATTCTATTAGTCTGAACATAATTATTTTAGGAAGTATGCAAAATACTTTTCATTTGCTTGAAATTTAAATGATTTTATTTAAAATTGGATTCAAAAGCAAATAACCTTTTCGTGACTGACGGGACTTCTCGGTCCCAAACCACTGAATACGAGTAGCATTGACAACTGTAAATGCATCCGAGATAAAAGGCTTAAAGTTTAACTAATTATATTGATGTAGGTAGACTGAGCATTATAATACTGTTGAGGGGCAGTGTATTTTGTCAGACATCATCCATGAAAGCCCAAACCTCCAGGAAGTTATTAAATGCACCAACTACTGTTGACTTTGAAGTCGTAAATTGGGCTCGGACTACTACACAATAGATAATTGAAGTATTTTGAGGTTTATCATCACGATTACGTTATTTAGTTATTACAATTAGGCTATTAAAAATGGAACATTAGTACCGTAGTAAAGGTTTCTAAGTGTGATAATAGATTATTAATAAAGAAAAAAATTTTTAAAGTTGGCTAATGGTTTCAGTGGAGGCATCGAAAGGACTTGGGAAGGAGTGCCACGCCGTCTGTTCAGCGCTGGACAAGCCAAGCCTCGTTGCGCATGCGTCAAAGACTTCGGAGCTCCTCTCTCTCCCATCGGCTCCAACTCTGCCAGCAAGAAAGGGCGCGGGGATCTGGACAATCCCAACCTTCAGGAGTATCCAGGCTGTCTCCCCAACTCCAATGAGTGTCAGGTTCCAAAAGAGGACTAGAGGAATTTCGTCTCCAAAAAGTTATAGGCCATCAAAATTGTTAAAGTGGAAGCAGTTTTTTTCGACTAATGCTTTGATTATTTTGACCTGTGAGACTCTGTTTTCACCTCTTGCGTGATCTCCTAATAGACGTTGGTAAGCAGTGATCTTAGTGGTAATTTGCAGTCCAGAATTCAGGTGTATTTTCCTTCATGCCTGGCTCATGCATCGTTAATGGCTTTCCAACCTCATATATAACATAAAACTGTTATCTTATTTGAACTTGACGTGGTGTTTTGTCGTGCTTAGGTAAAGATTTTATTTGGTTGACGAGAGCATGACACTGACATTCATTTAGTGGAAATGCGCTGTCAGAAATAACGTTAAGTCTTTGGTCTTTGTTTTCTGTTCGATGCAGCTTTAGTTTTTTTGCACATTCCATTATAGAACTCTGGGTATTTGTGAATAAAAAGACACTCAGAACACAAAAACTGCATTCTTATTTCACAAATGGTATTATCAAGTTATTTTATAAGGACAGGAAATTGAATTTCATGTTGCAGTTTCATAGATCCAATATATTTATATGGCCGGCACGGTCGCAAGTCACTTCTCTCGCTCGTTCAATCTCTTGGCCGGATGTTGGATCTTAGGGCTGCCGAGTTGTGAATTTCATCATTGTGTTTGTTCCTGTTAATTTATTATTATTTTTCTTTGTTGGCATGTCATGACGTTGAATTTTGATGTGATTGGTCCTGATGTCTTGTGCAAGTGTGAAAACTGAGGAGTTTCTTTCAAGGGTATTGGATATAGGTATTATTTCGTGTGAGGTATTTAACATTTAATTTTGATAATAATAGAATTAACATGCATAGCCTGCATAATCTTTATGGATTCGAATTATTATTTTTATGAAGCTCTGTTTTCTGTGAGTTTGTTTGTATTATCTAACTTTTCAGGTGGAGGGATTTAAGGTTTTTTCAATCACCGTAATTCTTACTAATTACAATTCTTACTAAGTACATACAATTCTTACAGCTGTGAGGCTAAATGACAAACCTGCTCTGTAGCATTCGACTTGTCTCTAGTGTTTTTGATCCCAAAGTTCTACTATGCTTGTAAGATTTTCAAAAAAGAATTTGTGTACGACGCCAGATAATATCTGGGTCTGAATGCAGCTACTTTATTATCTCAAAAAGCACTAAAGCTAAGGCCTGATGCACAAAAAGTCGCAAAAATGTTTTAGCAATTCTTGTTGCAGCTATCTAATTCTCTCGGAAGTTGATAAATTTTGCAACCGTTCTTCTTTCCAACGTTTTGTTAAGCATGACATGGCCTTTTTCTTGCCCGAAAGTCTATTCCTGTACAAGGTTTTCCCAATCTATATCACTATATGACTTTGATGGGCATATAGATGTACTACATACGTCATAAACTAATCCGCGCCGTTTGTAGTCACAATTACATTATCGCTCAGCAAGAATGTAGATTTCAATGTTTTACAGATTTTTCATTATTGTTTCGTTTTTTGTTAGTTATTTTGTTAATACTCCTCCTTGAAACTATCGCTAACCGATTTGTTGGTACAGGTTAGATTTTTTCTTTGTTGAAAATCTGATCCAATGAGGGAATCTTATAGTATCTTTAACTTTTTATTGTAATATCATCAGTACTAATAAGTATTATGTTGTAGCTATGATCGTGCATACCAAAAGTACAAGGTAGGGGTGGCAAACACTCTTTTTCATATCTATTTTATTTGCTATAATTATCATTGTTACTGGTCTTGCTCTCAGGTTCGTTGGTGCTTATGACTCACCAATCATCGAGGAATCATGAACTTTTTTCGAGTTACGGTATACGTTGCATCCTAGAAGTGGACATTCCTTTATTGCACAATAATTTTAAGGCATATGCCATATGTTTAGTGAAATAATCAAAATACACTGTGAATGGATTTAAACAAGATATTCATCTTCTTAGACAAATTTTTTCCAGAGGGTAGCCGGGTCACTCGGAGCATGTATTACTTTGTATTCTGCATCTGTTAATCATGATATGACAGTATGTGTTGTCCACAGCTTTCCACATCAGCATCGCCTGAATAGTAGATGAAATATTATTGTCCTTATGAGGCTGATAAATACGTTTTTAAACAAACTTATAACATGAAAATTTTGCATCACAGTAGTTCGTTGCACATAATTAGCTAACTGCGTGCAAGTATAACCTGCATATAATAATGTAAATTATTTTGTTATTTTCAATGCAGTTCGTGGTTGAGGTTAATGCTCTTGTCCGTACTTGTATGGTGTCTGTTCGGCGCTGTGTCGTGTTTTTTCGACGTATTTATTCACAAATACTAAGCAATATTATTGCTCTGGCGAGGATATCATCTTCTGCTTTGATTGATTGCAAGACCGACAGTGGAATTGATCCAGTGACCTGCTGAATGTTCATTTTTTGAGAGTGTGATATTTATTACTCGCTGCCTAATATAGTGCACTGTTATGCAGTATTACAAATTAATGTTTCTATGATACGCTGCAAGTGCTAACTATGAGATGTTCTCGTCAAAATTGCATCTAACTTTCTGTTTTGAAGAAACTCATTTTTTGGGGGATTGTGTTCTGTGTAAAACATTTGAATGGCTGCTTATGTACTCATTCCACGACTCTTTATGGTTATAACTTTTATTTGTGGGATTTATTATTGGAAGTTTCTTATTTTATTTGTTATGAGTCAGATGTCGGGTATTCTGAAATATTGAATTGGAAAGATTAATTCTATTTTGTATGTAGATTGATATTACCTCAGAAAATTATATCAATTTAACGTGTGTATTCCAGCGTTTTTTTTCGAAAACACCTTCCCTGCATTGCTTAGTTTCGCTGCCGTGATTTCGTTGCTGAAAATTCGTGATATTTTCCGTTGTTTTTTGTGCGCTAATAATTCACAAGCTCATCTGCACCTGCGTCGTGTAGGTGGCAGTTTAATTTGTTTTTATTCTATTATTGCCTCACGGGAGTTCCAGCAAAGGCACTTTTTATGCCATAAGGAAAGTTCTTCGGAATTAATTATCAAATATTAGCCTTTTTAGAAGGAATTGGCTACAAAATTTTTTGAAATTTTAATGTATTTAATATACAGTACTTGAATACATTACAGTGCTTTGCTGGGATTCTAGGGATTGATGCGACCCCTGGGCTGCCGGAGCATAGTTTACAGAATTTTTTAGAAATTTTATTTCTCAGGATATCATTTACATTCCATTATTTCATGCAGCGAATTTTTGTTCTACTATTGTTAATGATTATAAAACAACTGTAGCTCAGCTGAAATATCTTCAACTTTTTATTTTCAAATGAAATTTACGGATCAAATTTGCAGTCAAATTTATTTCTTGCTACTAGTTGAATGGTGTTGACAAGGTTTTAGTCTTGGTTTCGTATCCAATATAAAGAAATAGAGGCAGCTGCAGCGTAGTCGGCGTATACGTGAACCGTACGTGAGCTATGCCCCGTCGCCCCTGACGGGTTGTTCTGAAGTCGATATAAAAATACGCTTGAATTGCTGCTGACAAAGAAATATAATTAACTCGCGAAATAATCGAGATATAATTGGAAATAATAATTCAATAGTCAATTGAGAACATAATTACCTTAAATGAAAAATCCACTTAAGAGGCTGAAGCCTAGTAATGCGCCGAGTCAAGTGAGAAAGATTAGCCCAGTGAGAGTATAAATTGAAGCATGCGGTTAATTGGAATTGGTAATAGTTGCGGAGAAGCATCTTAAGATCTTAATTCGAATGAACTGGGCCAATCAAGTGAATGGCATGCAAATGAACGAGGTTGAAGAATGAGAGGAAATTTAGGACAAGATATTTTAATAATAATTTAAACCGGCGGCTGTCAAGGCTGGTCTCTTCTTTCCCTACTGAATTAAAGTTAGAGAGCGACGTAAACTCTTTATTTTAAGACAAATGGAAATTTTAAATCTAATTTTTAACATTTGAATTTTCAAAAATCTCTATCAATTACATTTCTAATACTATGGTACTCTCGAGCGGGGAGACTTCCCATCAGGGAGGCTTTTTATGACTAGTGCCTTGGCTTGTCAGAAATTCTAAGGGATTTTGCGCTACCAGGAACATGGTTCTAGGAACGTTCCTGTACCTCCACCACAGAGCTCGTGATGTCTGACTGCTGGTCTCAGTTGTAGGGTTAAGCTATTATTTATGCAGGATTCCTTGCATATATGTTCCCTGTATTTCACTTGCGGACGGCCGACGTCTCGTGTATATAACCCCCCCCTCAGGGGGGACTTCTGACGGGTGTCTGTGCTCGTCAGAAGTCCTATGGGATTTCGCGTTCCGACTGTTGGTCTCAGTTGTGGGGTTAAGTTATTATTTAGGTAGGATTCCTTACATTTCCCTTCTCTGTCTCTCGTGCGGGTGGCCGACGTCCCGTGTAAGCGACCTCTCATTCGAGTGTCTTAGTTTCTGTTGCTTTTCACTGTCCCTTCTTGTCACTTCGTCTTATTGAGATGCTAACGCTGCTGCTTTCGAGCCAACTTCGGCAGGCTGGACAATTGAGACCTTTCCGCCCTTGGAGATTATGAATTATTTGAGAATTTTGCAATGATTGAGACCTTCCGCCTTGCTGGCGATGTCAACTTCTGACTTCTAGTGCGAAATAGCTTGATATATGAAGCGCTAGCTAATCATCTTATTGCTACTGGCTATAAATTCAATGAGAGCAACAGGCGCTGGTATGGAAAGCCGCTCTTGAAAAAGTGAACAGATACAATTTTTTTTCGTGAGGGGCTTTTGACTCAGTAGTCATAGTAGAATTTAACATTGCTAGTAAAAGTTACTTCATCCAAATGTGTACATTACATTTAAAAAAGGAATTTAGCTTCAATTGCTGTTACTTATCCTCTTACAAGAGTCTTTGAATGTGCACGAAGTGTGTTCTGAATCTTTGACAGCACCATCGGCTGCTTGTGAATTATTGTCTAAGTTTGAACGAATTTATTAATCTTACTTTGAAATTTTTTGGTGACGGCAAATTTGACCGGAATCAAGGCATTAAATAATGTTTTAATAATCCACTCCTTTTACGACGTTGAATTGTAATTTAATCCTGCACATCTTTTCCGAGGCTTTGAATAGGCGGAATACCCACGAAAGTAAAAGAAAATTCAAGATAATAACAATACCACATCTAAATTGTATTCGGTAAAGGTGAAACTTAATAGAAATATGTCTCTTAATTCTGTTCTGGGTCATATAGGTGCGTTGACAAGAATGGCTACTTAATTTAATGCATAGGAGCTTTCTAGAACTTATTTTCCTCCCTTGACGTTTAGGAGAGAGGTCAGGAAAGTGAAAAACAACCTTGACGTAAAAATAAAGAAATTGAGCGAATATCCCTTAATTGGGTCTGACGTTCTGGTCAGACGTCAGGAGGGGAAATCAGCCGAGACCTGAGTCCTGACGTATATGTCAGACGTCAGGAGGCGAAATTAGCCGATACCTGATGTCTAGGTCAGACGTCAGGAGGCGAAATCAGCCTAGACCTGTCTCTTATACACATCTAGATGTGTATAAGAGACAGACCCAGGCTTGTCGGCGTCTGAAAATAAGAGTCGGTCACTTCAATGGGTAAGAATAGAATGAGCTATATAATCCGTTTAGTTAGCTAACATGGAGCGAATTGCGCCTGTAAAATATAAGAAAGAAGAGATTGTTTTTAACGGCTGACTTTTCTCAGCGCTAGGAGGACTGATGGTTTGAGTTGTTTGAACAGAAAAATGAATGTTATTTTTAGCTAATGTTGTTAAATCAATTGTTACCAGATTAGATGTGGTGTCTTTTAAAATATTTATAGATACATTAGTACTTACCGGGAAGCCCGATGTAAATTAGACTACACTCGACCTTAAGCTAGACTCGTTTGTTGTGATCGAGCAATGCTCAGAGCTGTCCAATTTGCAGTGCCTCAAATGCGCGAAGTTGCGCGTGTTTTACGGTTTGACATTATGCATCAATGATTATGGTTGTTAATTATTCAATGGTAAGTGATTTATTTAATTTTGTGTGGGTGTGATGAGTTATCGATGATTATATGGTAATCTGGTCAATCTAGAGCAATCGATGCAATGCTCTCTTTCTGTGGAATTATATTCTTTCCTACCTGTCATTTCAACTTCCACTGTAGTATCCCAATTAGTCATAGTCATGGAACTGAAACTTTCAACAAAAGCTAATTGCAATCTGACGAACTTGAATTGATTGATTGAAATAACTATTTTTGATGTATTCGTTCTTGAAGTTCATGAAATTTTATTCTCTAAAAGCGTAATTCAATCTAGTACCAAACTAAGATAACATCTACTGCAACTATAGCTCATAATAATAAAGCTTGTAATGTAAAGTATTTTTTAGAGCAGGGTTCATAAGAATCTATGTACCATGCTCGAAAGCATGCTGACAGCAGGGTTCGGTTTGGATACCTGCAGTATAAGCCTTCATTTTAATTTATAGCCCAGGACTTTATTATACTGTTACTTTTGCACTCATATTATAGCAAATGAATGGCAGTAATCGTTGCACTGAAACAAATTGTTACTTCCCAGAGTTTGCATTGCTATTGTGGCACTGTAGGAAAAAATTTCAGCTGTAGGAAAAAATTTCGCATTTTAGCGGTAGTGTTATTTTCTCAGCATTATTTCTTCTGTACTGATTAGCTCACTAAAAACTTGATAGCAAGAAAATGATAATAACTCCACGAAAATTCATGCTATCTGTAAAAAAAAACGTTTCGGAATCCAGCTCCATCGTCAGTTTGAAAATTATAGAACACAGATAAATCAGCAATTAGTACTGTTAAGATTACAAAAAAAACTAAGTGGTAAAACTTAGCTATTACAATTTAAAGTGGATAAGAGCTAAAAGCTGAATTTAAACTAGGCCTTTGTTTACAAATATACAATGATTCTAAAATGCGCCTATCAGAAACACCGGAAGAGGAAGGTAAAGCCTTGAAGTCACTATATCAGAAATTGGTATTCTGATAGTGTTTCTGATTTGCGCATCTTGGAATCATTTTAAACAGAGGCCTAGTTTGAATTCAGCTATTAGCTCTTACCCATTTGGAATAGTAAATAGCTAGGTTTTACTGTTGAGTTTTTTTTTGTAATCTAGACTGTACTAATTACTGATTTTTCTGTGTTCTAGAATTTTCAAACTGACGACGGAGCTGGACTCCAAACGTTATCTTTAAAGATAGTATGAATTTTTTGGAGTTTTTTTTTCTTTCAAGTTTTCAGTGAATTTGCGATTCGAGCAAACAAGTGACATTATTGCTGATTAGCTTCCGTCCAAGCAGTCCTAAACGTACTTGTTCTCATTTAAGTTTTCTGAACACTTGTTTCTCTAATGTTCTCTGCAAAGCTTGATTGCTTGCGTCGTTAACAAGAGTGGAACGTTGTTGCTCAGCGTGTAAATATAACTTCGATGTCATTCGTATGCTCAAAAAAGTGGAAATATTTCTGTCGAGAAAAGTTAAAACTCTATGTATTAAATTAATCGCAGAGGGATTGTCATAATTTGGTGAAAAAATTTCTAAGCTTTTAATTAAATGGAGTAAGTTTGGTGTGGATGCTTAGATACCCGAAACACTAGTTAGCTCTAACTTTTCTAGTTTAACTTACGTTTACTATTAAATACTTGCTTCCAGATGTGGAGATATTTCATGCCGCGTAAATTATTCCTTACTCACACACGTCTAATTTTGATGCATTGCTTTCTTAGGAATGGGATAAAAAATCCTCTTTAGGATTTCTTCCCACTTCTGTATGGTAATACTTTAGTGAGAAAACTTCCATATCTCGTAGTGCACGTCTTCCTATGCCGGATAACAAATGGGTTGTGAAGGCGTAATTTACTCTGCCAAACAAGGCCTGACTCCAGCGTGGTTGACAGTTCGGCGTCGTATATTCAGTTGAAAATTATGCAAGCTACGCGGTGGAAGAGGAATCAATCATTCAAATTACGAGCTTATGTTTCGTCCTTCACTAATTGTTTTGAAATAATTGTCAATATTATATTCATGCTTGTTTTCTCGTGAGATTTGATTCAATATTTGATTTCAAACGACCCGATATTTATCAATTTTATTAGTTTCATAGCTCGTAAACAACAGCATCTGCACCAATGTCAAGTCCTGCAGGAAATAACCACTGTTATGTACAAGCTTAATCTAGGTTTACAGAAATTATGTTCCACGTCCCATATGTTTACATTAAGGCAGTATATTTCTGACGAAAATTTTGTTTCATTTTCCGCAATAAGAACTAGCGGAACTAAATTTTTTTTCTACTGCTTTTCTAACAATGCATGATTACAAAAGCGCAAAAAAATGTACACCGATATTAAATTATATTCTGTGAACAAGTTGAGATCAAACAGTGAAACAAACGAAGACAGATGGTCTTCTGCATGACGCGTGATGAACAACAATTTATGAGCAAATTCTTCCTTACAACATGTGCAGCGGTCATAAATCTAGCGAGACACGCGAGAACTGTGCTCACGCGTCTGTATTTACAAGTGTCTTGTGCTGCCAATCAATTGTATATCTATGGATGAACACACTATTACATCTTATAGATCATATGTTACCACATCTCTTTTACACAATGAACGTTTAATCAATCGCCATCATAGTTAAGACTAGACACTCAAGCAGCAAATTGCAGAAGTATTGTCTTACCAGATCATAATGCTTCACCTAACTCACGTTGTATGCGTTTCAATTTAGAGAAATGTTATCTAAAAATACAGAACAACTTTATATTCGAATCGAAGGAATTCTTGCGGAGCGCTCGATTAACGAATACCGTCATAGCTTGCGCCGTATCTTTGATACCATACAGCTGCTGCATCACAAGATGCCATGCAGCTGCTGCATCTTTGGATGCCACGCAGCTGCTGCATTCGAAACTCGCGCAGCATCAGCGTTTCGTATTCCACGCTTTTTCAAAAGAACATAAAATTCCTACCGTCAGCCTCACGATTCTACAAGATCGGTAAAACGGAACGATTTGTCGTGTTGTAGAACCAAATGATTTAGTTGAATAATTTTTCCTGGAAACTTAAGCGATAACATTTCTTGATAACTAGAAATACCTTAACATGGCAACGTCCACTTAAATCGAAGGAAAACAAATCAAAATATACAAAGAATGCAACAGATTAATTATTGCTTCTGTACAATATATAAATATAATGACACGTTCGTGACCTCTACTAAATTATTGGTCCCCAGGTAATCCGTGGTCATATAAGTTGCAGGGTCAAGATAAGTTGCAGTAGTTAAACTGTACGTCAAGTATTTATAAGTATTGGTCTTAATTTAGAAATGTAGTCAGGACTTCACTTCGAGCGTGTACACTATACATAATTACTAGAAAATAAAAGGAGAATGGGATAAAAGTGAATTTACGATCCCGCTGACCGGTGACAAAAGTGAATTTTAACTGACGAAGCTAGAAATAAGCAGAGGATCTAAGTAGAGTTCCTTAAATATTAATATCACAGCCGCAGCAGGACACCGCGCTAAGTCTTCTACGGCGTCCGGTACAAATCTAAAGGCTTCCAGACGCCCAAGTTCCGCGCGACGTACGTCAAACCTTCCGCGTGAGGTGGGAAAATCGTGTAGTCTACTCGAGGTGAACATCAATCACTAAGTTTACAAAATAACTCTTATTGCGTGATGAGAATGAAATCTAACATCATTTAGCCAAATAATTTCTATGACATTCAAAAATAACTCTTATTGCGTCGTGAGAATGAAATCTAACATCATTTAGCCAAATAATTTCTATGACATTCAAAAATAACTCTTATTGCGTCGTGAGAATGAAATCTAACATCATTTAGCCAAATAATTTCAACGGCATGCCACTAATTTATAATTAAAACGAGGCATTGTACTCAACGAGATTCAGCAAAAGAATCTTCAAAGAAGATGATTTAAAGGCAAAACGAAGCACCCGTGACCACACGAGGGCAGAAAAACCTAAAGTGGAAAATCACACGATTATTTCCCTAATAATGCGTCGGTTGCGAGAATTGGGGGTCGAGTAGCCAGATTCTAAAGATTCGTCGAAAGAAATTTGCGGTTTGTTGTCCTGCTGAGGCTGCATGTTGTCGTGCATAGCCATGTTAGGGTCCATCTGGTGGTCCATATAGGGGTCCGGCATGCCGCTTACGTCATAGCCATCTGCAAGGAAGTAACAATTGATAGTTTAAAAATTTGTAGTAAAACATCGAGACATCCTAGCCAACATTACTCTTCCGACATGGTTATGTTCAGCAGATTTATGCCTCGAACTAATTTAGAAAAGCAAAATCCACTACAGCATGATGGACCAAATTCATGGAAGAATTTTCGACCTGTTTAGGAATCATTGATCTAAAAATTATAAAACTCAATACCCAATACAAAGCATTTCTCAGTAAGGAAGGTAGGCACTCACCAACATGATCCATCCTCTTCCTGTTTTTCTGCACCGAAGCGTAAGCGTCACCGTTGGCCATGTATCCATTTTGCTGTGGCACGCCAGGGTAGTAGCCGTTGTCGTCCTTGCCCATGAGAGGTTGTTGGTGGGGAGCCATCTGCATCTGGTGCGGTACGGGGGTCTGGTGGGGACTTGAGGGAGGATAGTGGCTGTAGTCCCCGTATCCTGAGATGCCGTAGCCTCCGTGGAGCATCGGGTCGTACGGGTACCGAGGATCGCTACCAGGGGTCATCTGAGGAGGCTGTGTTGTGTTGGTGTCGTAGTTGCCGGGGTTGACGCCGCCATTCTTCACCTGCCACAGCGAGTCTTGGGAGTTGACGGAGCCGCCGTTGTTGGAGTTCGAATAGCTATTGTCCATGTAACCAATACCTGCACGACAAATTGGAAATGTTGAATGGAAATAATAAAATAATTTCACATGGTATACTGTTTTAGAAGAATAGTTTCACTCAACAAAACATCAGTCGAAACAAAACAAGAATTTTCCCCAAATATAATGAAATAAAATTGTAAACTAACCATTGTTTTGCTGACTTGGAGGCATCTGGCCATAAGTGAAAGGCTGTTGCGAGTTGTAAATGGAAGGTTTAGAGACGTCCTCGATTCCGTTCTGAAGAGATCCGTCCATGGCTTTATTGTCGCGCCCGACTGTGTAGTAAGGAGGCGGAGGAGCTTGTGAAGACACGCCGCGGTGGGCAACTTCCATTTCCCCGGCTTTTTTCTTGAGCTTAGATCCCTTACGCCGGCGACAGCAGCACAAGAGTATGAGGGCGATCAGCGCAAGCGCCATGATGCCGCCGATGATGATTCCTACCCAATACTGAAGGCCGGAAGACTTGTAGGCACGAGCTGGAAGCACATCCACTGTTGAATAGATAAATTGTTAGACATGTTGATGTACGTTTCGCTTGAGCTTCAACAGTAAAACTAAGACAATCATACTTATTTTTTTGAGTCAGCCCATTATCAAATAGTTTATAATCAAAGGCTGAAAACTTGAGTGATCTCACCTTTCTGTGCTTCGATGTATGGGCCACACAGCATCTCCATGCCCACAGCGCAGAGCCGAACTTGTATTTCTTCGGGATATTTTTCATCGATCGCGATTTCCTCATACTCCTTGCCGCTCAGAGGATATTCAGAGGAAATAACTTCCCACTCGGAGGTTCCTTGAGGCTTCTTCTTGATCTGACCAACGAGCAACAGATTAGTTGAGCGAACTCGGAAGCTCACTACTCGATTGAGAATTTCGAAGTACACTTGTTCAGGCTCAGGAATAGACGCCGCTTCAACGCCAGTGTTCACTTGTAGAGGAGCAGAGAAATCACTCATGCCCTTGATGTTGTTGGCGCGGACCTTAATGCGGTACGCCGTCTGTTCTTCCAAATTGCGAATAACGCAAGGATTTTGGTACTGACAGTCATATTCCTGCTGGGAGCCTAGTTCAGACTCGATTTGCGCAATAAATTTGGTTCTTTCGATACCACCGTTGAAACCTTCCTCCCATTTAACCTCAATGCTATTGGTTCCGATTGACACCAATTGAATTTCAACGGGAGGCTCAGGAGGGCCTTTAGGCTGAAGTTTGAGTGTTGTCGTGTGCTCGCCGATGGTATTCTCGCCCTTGCATGTATAGTCACCGTAGTCCTCGTCAGTAACATCAGAGATGTACAACTGTGAAGCATAGACATCTTCTTGTAAGGCTGTCTCATTTGTAGCGAAGCGAGGGTCGTTTCGGTGGATTAAATTATTTCCTCTGAACCACTGGAATGAAGGGTTAGGGAAGGACTGCATTAAACAGACCAGCACGGCATTTTCGCCCACGTCAAACGCGACTTTGTTATTCTTGTGAACAGTGATGGGCGCATCTGAAAATAAATAATCATTCATTAGAAGCAGAAATTGAAAAAGCTTATATCCGAGGTATAAAAATAATTGGGTGCAGATGTTCCATTCATGTGTATTAACATTAATGACGACAGCATAAAGTTAAATATAGTTTTAGTTGCTAAACGTTAATCATCAGTTTTACTTACGTTTCACGCGGAGGAAGAGAGGAGTACCGACTTCTCGCACTTCATTGCTGAACAAGCATTCATAGATACCACGATCTCGAGCCATCATCTGATTACTATTTTTCCTTTTGCTGCCCTGGAACATGAGCTTGGACTGTACAGTGTACACCCCGTTGCTGCCAAGAGCCGACTGCTGCACTGCCACGTCATAGAGACCATCAGCTGGCAAGATTTCATTCCCATCTTTGACCCAACGAACTTTAGGCTCGGGCTTTCCTTGGGCTCTGCAGGTGAGGCTCACATCGGTTGCGCCGATGCTCTCCACTGAGGTTTCAGGCAAAGACTCCAGAATGCTGGGAGCCTGGTAGACTTTGAGCGGCATGGAAGCCGTAGTGCCTTTGCCTAGCCTATTGGAAGGCGTACAAGTATATGTACCCTCATCGGCGTACGCTGCCTTTGGGATGGTATAATTCGGCCCGACGAGCAAAGGAGTTTCTGAGTCATGGCGCCGCCACTCGTATCTTGGGGTGGGCCAACCTGGAGGATTTGATCCACATGTCAAAACCACGGCTTCGTCCAACACCGCTACAGGAGTCGAGAGCTTGATGAAAGTTTTACCGGGAGCGTGACGAATACGAACCGCGACGGTAGCGTTCCCGACCCGGTCGCTTCCTTCTTGATTGGTGGGAGCCAAAAAATTAACAGCCCGACACACATAATTGCCTTGGTTGGTTGCTGTGACACTGTTAATCCTCAGAATATCTCCGCTCTGCCTGAAAGACTCGTCATCTACTTTGTACCATTCAATTGTTCTGGGGGACGGATTAGCAGTAACGTTGCAAGTAACCACAAGATTTTGACCTTCTTCTAAATCTTTGCTGGCAGGGACCGTTACTATGGGTCCATAGAGAACGTCTAGAGTGACCTCTCTCTCGCGTAAAATACCAAGACTGTTGTCTGCTTGGCAGATGTAACGGCCAGCCTGTTCTTCAGTAGCCTGTTCGATGAATAAAGTTTGTCTCGTGTCAATGAACTTCTTCCCTCGTGTCCACCGGACATTCTTCACTGGGGGTTTGGCGTCAACTTCGCACGTCAAGGTGGCAGGTTCACCACGTTCAACACGCATAGGATTTGCAGGCCCTATCGTGATGCGGGGATAATCTGCAAAAAAAAAAAAAATCAGCAACGCTAACGAAATCATAATACGCAAATTCTTTTGACTTTGCTTTATCAGAGATATGAAATATATAAAGAAATATATACATATTTGTTTTTTTTTAAAGATATCCAACAGTTTTCTTGGAAAATAGGGAAGATATGAATAAAAAAACATCGATATAATAATTTCGGCCCTTACAGTCAACATCCAAAGTAACCGATGTTTCCATCCGTTCGCCCTCGGCAAGCGCTCGATTGGAGACGACGCAGCGATACTCGTTGCCGTGGTCTTCCTTGGTGGGACTGATGGTCAGCACCGACGTGGTGGCCTCGTCACGTCCGCCCCCAGGCTTCAGCACGCTTCTTAGTTTCTCGTCACTGCCTTGACGATACCATCTGCACAAGGAACACTCGGTTACTGGTAACGAAGAGGCTATGGACAGCCTACGAGTCACATAACATACATCCTGCAACTGCGGTGCGTGTGGTAGCCTTCTTGCGAGACGCTCGTCTTGGAAAATTAAATCGTGTCAAATTTTTATTCCTTGAAATAACAAATTACACAAGTTAAATTCAAGCATTAAACGTACGAATTTCCATTAAATCGTCCTAACAACATAGTTCAAAACATAGAACATTATAAATCCTTTCCACAACATCGTTCTTACATGATTTGGGGGTCAGGGGAGCCTCCACTGGATGAGCAGGTGAGCTCAATAGGTTTGCCCTCGACAGCCTTGGGTTTCTGGGGCGTGATGTGAGGCGAGCCCGGCGGGATGAGAACCGTCAGGTTGACGACGGTGTTGTGCAAGACGCTACCCGAACCTTCCTTCACGCTACGACACTCGAACATGCCGTTGTCGCGATCATACGTTGCGCGGTTGATCGTCAAGTCATAACGGCTCTCAGATTCAACGAAGTTTATGCTGTAGAATAAAAAATGTATCAATTTATTATTATCCGGGAGAGTTATTTATTTGGAAATTCTAGGCCTCAAGACTCTCAGGTTTAAGATCTTTAGAGATGGTTTGAAGCGAAATGAATTTTTAGGCGAAATCCAATTTATGCCTGAATGGCTAAGAATTATATTAATCATAAAAAAATTGATTTTAGAGAAGCTCGAGATGAGCATTTGAAAAAGTACATATAGATATACTTATTTTCTCACCGGTAATTGGCATCAAGGGCCTGGTCTCCGAAGGCGACATTGTCGACCTCGCCGTTCCTGTGTCTCATCCAGTAGAGCACCCCGCTCAGCAGACGAGGGTTGCTGAAGTGACATTCGAGGGTAACGTCGCGGCCCTCTAGGACGTCTAGAGCCTCCTCTCGGCGAGCGCCCTCTACCATTAACGTCCATAATCCTGTAAGCGACAAAAAATGTTACCTTATAGCTCGCAAATTAATGACGTTAAATCTATCGAATAAAGTCGGCGAAATAATAACGACTGACTTAAAAATAATATGTAAGTAAGGATATTCGAAAATGTATGATATCGACGAACTTGAGATTTTATACTTGTTTGAGACTAGATGCTACGCTAACTCGACTGTTCTTTCGCGATCTCGAGAATATCGTTAGTAATTCATAAAAGTACTTGACGTGAGCTGAGCACCTAAACTGAAAAGTCATTAGGTAGGTTATTTAAGCATCCACATTTTACACACAGAAAACCAACAGCCTCCAATACTAAGTTCGGAGAGCCGCAGTTCGGATCTACGGTCATTGCACCAGGGCGACACAGGCACCCCGTAACACGCGGAAAAGTGAATGGGTTATGCTGTGCAAATATTAATATACTTTCAGCACATAGCATGCACTGATACGCCCACCAACCGAGCCAAACTGGGACAGAAAGACACACACAAGAGTAAAAAATATATCACTATTTGGATAAAGTCTCACTCATTTCTCCGAGTGGAGGGTGGATGCGACAAACAACGCAATATCAGGCAAGACAATAACGGTGCAGCATTGAGAGCTACAGCGAGCCATGATAAAGATGAAGGCGATAGTGAACGCTCATTGATGAAGGCCGAGTATTAGCAACGAAATAATGACCGAGCAGATCAAACGATAAGAAGTTCACTGATCGTGCAGATCCGATCAGATCTTTACGATGCCCTCACACAGGACAAAAATGAAGGAAAATTGGAATGGTAAACTCGACTCAGGCGACGACCTCATCACTGACGATATATCGCACGCATATATCACGCTAAGTATTATGTATCACAGTTTAATGTTTAGACAAAAAATCAGTCGTTCATGATTTAACCGTAACAACAGAATGATATTTTAATTAATTTCTACAATAAACATTCAAGGTACAAACCTAGCATCGTAAAGAGTAAAAATAGAACGGCGTTAAATTAAATAGCCTATAGTCCTATACTATATAGGATGCGATGGCAAATACCTGAAGACTGAAGTCATAAGACAAAAAAAAAAATAAGTATTTCTTGAGATTTCTGGTCCAAACGAGTATGTATAAAGTTGACTGGTCAGCTCTAATGAAACATTAATTCTTGTTACAAAACAAGTCAGGATATCAAAAAGAAGTTAGGTGGTCTTGTCGAAATGAAGTCAATGTAAAAAAAAAAATAAATTTGTGGTAATAAAATGACACACAAAACCGCAAGTTCGTTCAACAGAGCATGAATCACGAACGTCAAACAAGTTTCAATAAATCGTATGACCGACGGAACAAGAAAAAGTACACATTGGGAGCAGATAATTCACAACGTGTGAGGCCTCGTTCGCCAAGACGGATGACGCAAAATGACAGCGCTTAAATATTGCTGGTGGCTGAGCAATTTTATGACCCTATTCCTGACGCGCGCACGGCATTCCTGTACAAAAACGCGCATGAAAATACCTGTGCCATGCATGAAGAGACGCACCAGACAAAATACTCCAGTCTTGATTTTAGAGTTTTTTTCCAGTCTTGATATCAGATTTTTTTTCATTTACCCTTATTTGTACATTTTTTGACTAAGTACAGCATGGTATAGAATTTGCTTCAGACTATGGTAATAATTATTGTGATGAATAATGAAATACAAGATAGTGACTAGAATTTTGCACTCGCATGCAAACTAATGACCAGATGCAGACGAGATCCGCAACTTTCTCTTGCCCTCAACCAGTGAAATAAAAAATCCCTAGGGCCTGGCATGAGCAAAAACAAGACAGTCGCTGTGCAGCGTGCGCACGCAATAGAAGTGTTCGCAACAAAAACATATGAAGGAACCTCAGACGTGATGGCGAAATTCCTGATATACTGAACATGGCATTTAAAAAACATCGAACTGAGTCGTGAGGCATTACAGCAAATTGCAGTCCGGCGGCTTGGCCAAGTCCAAATCAGCCAATTCTATGAACGTTTGACGATTAATGGTCTTGTGAAAACAATTGTTCAACAACTAAAACTACAAGCCGATTCGACGGGCAATGAACATTTCAAGAGCTATAATGGGAGATAATAAAAGATGTAAAATACATAAAAAAATAGATAAATATTTTTTCTTTGAATAAATCAGGAGCAGAGAGAAGAATATTTAAATAAAATAATTGAACAATGCAGAAAATAAAACACGAAATATAATGTAAATAAAATCAACATAGAAGTTGAAAATTTCGTTAACATACAGTGTATATAGTCTTAACATATAATATAGAGGTAATAGTTGTAAAGTTTATGTGTGTAAAAAAAATTCAAATTTTTACTACTTCAAATGATTGCGGTATTTATAAAATAATTATGGAGCAAGGTAATGGGAATAGCAATACTTATAATATTATTTCATCCTTCTTTTCTACTTTCCTAATTGACGTGTTATTTCAGACGAAAGCGATATAAATTCTAAAACACTCAAATTCTGCGTAATAATGGAACATTTTATTTAAAAAACTGAAATGTCGAGACCCAAAACAAAAGTAAAGGAATTAAGTAATATCCAAGGACCGCGGACACTGCGACTTGAGCGACACGAGGCAGGGACTCGAGATTCGTGTGTGGATGGAGCGAGCAGCATCCTGCTCGGTGGGCTGTAAGTGCTTCGCAATTACGGCAGCGCAATAAGAGAGCGTCTGGTCACGAACCTCGCTTGCCATGATTACGTTCCAGTGCAAGCCATGAGATCAAGCGGCCTAAGCAGTGCCATCGCCCCACGATTGAGCAATAATGAAATGATTCAAAGATGTCTCCTGATTAGAGCTGACATTAGGTTCACTGGCTATCAGTAAATGATTGATCTATCGTCAATTGCATCTAATAATACTAAGTAATTGAATCCCGAAGATTAGTTACTATTTATCAGGTGGTCATTTCGAATTCGATGCGTCTGAATTATAAAACAATCAAGGGAGGATAAATCGGGAGAATATATCGAAAGAAGAAAGTGAACTTTGTCAAATCTAGGTTTCACCTGAGAAGCCGAAATATAAATTTATGAAGCATTCAACATAACAATGTCTTCACACGAAACAATTGCTGGCTTCGTTTCGTGCCAACAGATAATCCTAGAGGCAACTGACCCATCAGATTGTACGTGCCACAGCTTCTCCCAAGTTACTTAAAACGGCAGCTGCGTTCCTCAAAATTCAAAGGCGAGCACAACCTCAGGCTCAGGATAAACTGTCAGATGGACCGCAGGGTCCAGTAAGTTGTGGCAGAGGTTTATTCGCGCTTTCATAATACATGTTCAGAGCTCATATTTTCTATCATTTGTCGCCGCTAAACATATTATTATATCACCGCTCATCTTATCAAGTCACGTTGTTGAGATTAAAAAAAATTAACGTAAAATTAAAAAAAATTAAAGTCACACTACAAGGTAACCATAGAACAGGAACGCATCAGGACCCGCCAAGAAAAGTAGGTAATCACTTCCCCAGTAATCGTAACTGCGAGAAACCGAATTTGTCACGGCAAATCTGGACCTGAACGTCTTTTGACTGTCACAGATGAGTGACATTAGTTCCTGTACGAAATAATTAAGATTCACGGTGGCCTGATAATTTTATTTACGAATCGACATGAAAAAGAAAGATATCGTAATAATGATGCTCAAAGATCTGGATAAAAGGTTGTTAGAGAAGCTATAAGAGTAAAGAATGTCAGAGGGAGATAATGCTGAGGAACTTCAGCGCAGGCTTGCGCTAGGTTGCGGTGTAGCGGCTATGGAGAGAGCCGCGGGCTGTCCTGCGAGGTCTTTCTTCGCAATCAAGCACTTTCTAATTCGGACATCTAGAATCACAGCTCACCGAGGCCTTGCAAGTGCGTCAACGGTGAAAAACTTGGTAGCGAGGATGCATTTTTGGAATAGCCACCTCGTTCCTCGGAAAAAATATAGGGTTGAGATTGCTATACTGTGAATTCTACTGCTCTTTAATTTCATACTTAATATAGACAAGAGAAATACTTCTCTCGTTATTCAAGTTATTATTTAAGTTATTAGGCCAATTACTTAAAATTGTACGGGCATATCTTACGCTTGTAAATGAAAATGACTTAACTAAATGTAACTTTGGGCGATGAATCGTGTTTATTGTAACACAGAGGAAATGATATCAGAAACTTCAAAACATGGGCCTCAAAAATTTATCAGTTAGATTACGGGCATTAAAGAGAATGTTGAATCATGGGACTCATGAGCAGGATAGCGAGCGCGGGAGGCGGAGGAGCGCCAGGCAAGGTCTTGCTCAAGCCTTGCGTCACGCCGGCCTCGAGTCGCGGGTTCGAATTAAGAAGCGATCTTGTCGTCCTTCCAGCGCGTCACTCCAAGCATTTCCGTCAGAAAAATTTGTTTTTACAACGAAAACAAGATCGATCGGTTTAGAAAACAGTTATTAACATTATGTTTAAAATCATGATGGGGAAAAGTATTAAATTTTGCATTTGAGAGCATACAACTTAAATCATTATGAACTCAGACACAGAATTTAGTAATTACCCACACATCCAGAATTTTAGTAAATATTGATAGGCTTGATAACAAAACGCTAAAATTCAATTCTAAGTTTATAAAATCTTCGAAATAATCAAGCTGAAATTATGAAAAGGCACTAAGTTCTAGAGTCTAGACCAATACATCGGGCCTTTGTTTATTTTCATCTCAAGTGAGAAATTCACCTCGCGGTTAGAGAGCGCACGGAAATTTGGGTCCAACATGCACTGTTGAACTTGGCAGCAAAAATCGGCGTGTAAAAACTCAACATTGAAGGCCTAACCACAACGTGTTTCCAGACGATTGCGCAAGGTTTCTTAGGTAAGGACGGGGAAAAAAACGCCACAAGAAATCCTGCCATGTGCTCCTCCAATCGTTGTATCCGCCGAAGAATGTTTCATGATGTACGAGT